GCACCGGTACGGACCCTCCTGGCACCAGTACAGACCCTCCCGGCACTGGTACGGACCCTCCTGGCACTGGTACAGACCCTGCACCAGAGCCCACATCCCACGGACCGAGCAGCTCCCGGGCTGTGTGTGCACCAGGATGCTGCTCAGAGCCCAGCCAGCCCTGGAAACACAACGAAGTGCAGCAGAGCAAGTCACTGGGGCACATACCAGCCCACTGGCTTTAACCAGGGGAGCTTCCAGGTCCGGGTAGACGTTCTCCAGGTACCACCTGAAGCTCTTGCACTGAAGCTTCTTTCGCAGTTGGATCTGTTGGGTCAGGTCGCCGACATACAGGTTCTTCAAGACCAAGTGGTAAGCATGGCCATAGAACAGCTCCTTGTACTCGTCCAGCCACACCTCAGCAACACGGGCCAGGTTCCTCTCCACTGTCCTCACCCGGTCTCTTGGGAAGGAGTAAGGGTTGTCGTTCCTGAAAATGTGCCCAACCCTGGAGCAGGGAACAATCTCCACCTCCCCACCGCACATCCACACCTGAGAAGCAGAGGTGACTTTGACAGAAACACGGGCACATGTTGGGTGCTGGCTTTGTGCAAGCCAGAAGAGCAGCAGCACAGCAAGCCAAGTGCCAGGAGGGATGGGGACTCCAGCACGGGAGTGTCCCAGGGAGCCCTGGCCTGGCCCCAGGCACCCCAGCCATGCTGGCAGGGATGCTGGAGTGCAGGCCAGGCTGCCAGGAGCAACATACCTTGAACGAAATCTCCATATTTTCACCTCCCCAAACATCCAGTCCCGGGTCATATGTTCCCAGCTCAAAAAAATACTTCTTATCAATGGAAAAGAGGCCACCAGCCATGACTGGGCACCTGGGAGCAGGGAAACCACACGGTGTTGTCAGCTGGTGGGAAGTGCCCGTCCCTTCCCCTGCTTTGATGAAGGAACCACTGAGAAGCTGCTCAGGGACGGTGCCCGAGCCTGCACTGACTGCAAGGACCACCCTGTTTGTCACTCTGCTGCAGGCTGACCGGTGCAGCATTAAAACAGATGTTGTCTAGGTGGCTTCACCCAGGCTGGAAGCTGTGATGGGGCACGGAGGGGAAACATGCAGCAGTACAAGCCTTGGCCACGGCTGTGCTGGCCAAGCACCAGCAGTGCCACAGGGGGGAAGACAGGCTTGGTGGGCTTTGCCCAGGCCTGGGGATGTGGTTGCCCACACCGTATCACTGTCCTTGCAGACAAAGGAACAACATTTGCCCTCTAAGGTGCCTTTGTTGCTAAGTTATTATCAAAGGAACTGTCCGGTTCACAAAGCTCTCACTTTTGCTTTACCTTATGATATCAGTTTCCTTGATTTTGTTTCTCTCGATGACCTCCTGCGGGATCTGCCTCCAGCCAAAATTCATTGGCCAAGTGAAAACCCCACGCTGGAAGTTGTCCACAGTCATGTAGCTGAACAGAGGAAAGACCGGGATGACTAATTCTGAGTCACATTCCTGATTGAAATGTCACCCTTAATGAGAGAAGACGCGCATCTGTACATAATTAAGACAAGATTTTAACGAATTTCATCAGGAATCCTCTTAGTGTACCAGAAGTCAGGAGGCAGGGACAAGCTGTGTGCAGGAGCTGCAGGGGCCACCCCCACTGCCAGCGCCGCTCCTGGTGTCCCGCAGGGACCTCAGCCCCTCCTGCCGCGCTGCTGGGGGGGCTCTGGCCCCGTGTCTTCCTGGGATTCACGTGCAGGTGGGCCCAGGAAGGGTTCTCCTGAAGCCAGGGCTGCAGGCTGCCTTACCTCATGTCCTTGTCGCTGATGACCTCGATGACGGGGCAGGGCACCTTGGCGCGGCTCAGACGGACCCTCTCCAGCAGCGGCTCCAGCCACCCCACGTTGCACTCCACGTGCGAGTCCAGGAAGGTCAGGACGGCGCCTGCAGCAGAGGCCAGGGCAGCATCAGGCCTCAGGTGCCCCGTGCCCATCCCCGTGGGGCTGGAGGTCCTGCCTGCTGGGGTGATGCTGAGGTGCCAGACGAGCCACAGCTCTTCCCCCCCATCACACCCTTGTGCTTCGTGTAGCAAAACCACAGCCTTGGGAAAGTGGGAGGGGACTCAGCTGGAGATGGGCTGTTGGGCACCCCTGGGGGGCAGGCAGGGCTGTACGAGGGCTCTGTCCTACCTTTGGCAACCTCTGCTCCTGCCAGTCTGGCCCGTATCAGGCCGTGCCTCTCCTGGAGACGGAGGATCTTCACCTTTGGGAACTGTGACATGTACCTGTCCAGGGGCTCCTTGAGGTACTCTGCAGGGAAGGAGGAGAGGGTGAGGTTGACTTACCCACTTCACAACTCCTTCCAGAGGTGACAAGCAGAGGGTAGATTTTCCCTGGGAGCATCTCCAGGACACACTAGGGTCCTTGGGTGCAAACATCTGGGCACAGCTGCAGGGCTTCTGCTACATGGCATTGTGGTCTGACCCTGCTCCCTGGTGAAGCTCCTGTATCAGGGCCAGCAGGTTTAGGCTGATGTTCATGGAGTCATGGAATGGTTTGAGCTGGAAGGGACCTGAAAGATCACCTTGATCCAAACCCTTGCCATGGGCAGGGACACCTGCCACTAGACCAGGGTGACAAGTA